ATTTCCTCACCCCATGAAGGCGAGAGGAGGCAAAATGGCACCGGCGCATTTGATTCAAACTAATTAAAAGCAGAGGGTCATGCAATTCAATATATTGATTTTACCAGTGGGACTTAAGTCTTTTATAAGAAGTATACACAGCTGCGTTGCTCGCCCACCACCACGTTTTCACGGCATTTCTTTGCATTCCTTCTGACAATAACATGACAGGTCCCACGCATCCCTGCCTGTGCCCTAACCCCCGCGACACTGCCTGACGGCATTGAGGCAAAGTGATGCAGCAGCCTGCCAGGAACAGTGTGTCGACAGCCCCCAGCTAGGTCTGAAGAGTGACTGCAAAGAAATGAACATGGCCAGCCCTTCGGGCCCTCCATTCAAAATATTCATTTGGCAAAACGGATGGGCAGGCTGGGGAGGGTGGGGACTGGGGGAGCGTTAGGACACTGTGATGCTTGCAATGGGCCAAATATGACCTTACCCAATAGGGAAAAAAGATATTAAAGCGATAGGGGTGATCAATCAACTTAGATGGGACTCTCCCCGGAATGAAGTCATCACTTGTCTCGGAGTTCAGCGGACATGTGATATTCGCTCACATCACAGGCATCCTGGCCATCAGGGGATCGGACGCCAGCTGGGTTTATCTCGCAGGGGTTTGAGAGCCCTACTACGGGATGAAAGGCCCCTGACCCACAGCTCACAAGAGCTGTGTTTTACTTTTGAGTTCATTTCTTTACGGGGAGATGGCGGGGAGGGGGGAGAAGGTGAGGGGTGTCGGGGCGGGAGGGGGGAGAGGGAATTTCAAGCAGGCTCCGCGCTGTCAGCATAGAGCCCGATGTGGGGCTTGAACCCACAAACCGTGAGATCACGACCTGGGCCGAAACCAAGTCTGCCGCTTAATCGACTGAGCCACCCAGGCGTCCCAAGAGCTGTGCTTTAGAAGCGGTTTCTTCTCTCTGGGCATTCACAGAATCGCCCCTTTGCAGTCCTGAAATCAATCTATCCGGGCCACCTCCCTCGACCCACTCCACAACCAGAGCAGAGCCCCGGAATCAAAACCCCAAACTAGCCACAGCAGGCTGGCACCCAGGGCTCGGCCTCAACCTGCTTGGATTCCCGAAGGGCATACAAAGAAGATCAAGAAAGTTCAAGTCCGGGGCACATATATCCTTGGGAAAAGGGGTGGGGGGTGGGGGTGGGAGAAGATCTGTGATTTAAGAAGCAGGAAAAGGAGGTTTAAGGGGAGCGATTTCGCGACGGTTCCGAAGCACACAGCTGTTGGTGCAGTCCTAGAGTGAGGACACCGTGCAGCAAACAAGAAAAGAAACTAGAAAGAAGGGGGAAAGCCTGTGTGACATCTATATTAACCTCCAGCTGCTCACCAGTGAGGGCCTGCGCTCCAAGTGCTGGAATGTGGATCCGCCCCTTCCAAATTTTAACACAAGCCAGGTTACAGCTGCAAATGCCTCCAGCCCATGCTCCCTTCTCGAAGCACTCCCTGAAGGAAATTTTTAAACTGTAACAGAATCTTTTTCTAATAGTCTACAGTGGTAGGGCCTGTTCTTAAGGGGCAAGAGGAGAGATCTTAATGCCAAACACTTGTCAACAAAAAGAACAGCCAGATGGTATAAAGCAAAAAACTGCACAGCCTTCTTTCGCCCCGCTCTTTGGCTGCATTAACAAAAGCCACTTTTATACGTGGAGTCCAATAATGACCGGTTTCCAGCCTTTTCTTTTTTTAATTCAGCTCCGAAGATTCAACAAATTTGCTTCCTTCATAACCTGGGCCGGAGACGAACACCCATCGTACACCCCTAAAGCCAGCCGGCTTCTTTTGAAGATTCCAAAAGGGGCCGCTGGATTTCCCCAAAGGCAAAAAGAAGAAAAAAAAAAAATGGTAGGGGGCTCTGGCTGGATTCGGTCTGCAGAACTCACATTGCCTGGGGACAACTTCAGAGAAGGTAGCCTGTTTTGAATTCAAAAACTTAAGTTCTACACAGAGGAATCAGGGGCTTGTTAATCCAAACCAGTTTACAAATCTCGCCATTGAAGCGAAGGGGCCCAGGCTGAGATGTGAGTCTCCCTTGCAGCTCAGCTAGCGTTACACGGAGGGGGGGGGGGTTCATCAGACAGGCTGGTCTTTGTCATAAGGTGGGGTCTGAAGTCCTCATTCTCAGCCTGGCAAAAAGCTAGAATTCCAAGGAGAACCACTTAGAGGAACAAAACCGGGTTTGGCTGCAGACAGAAGAGTAATGCACTGGGTCTGCAAAAGCCTTCAGAATCCAGGCAGAGGTCTCCCCGGCACGCAGGACAGCAGCGGTGTGGAGTGGAGGGAGGAGAGGGTGGTGGAGATCGCCAGCTTCTCCACCCACAGCCCCCCAACGTCACCCCAGGTCCCCCGCATGATACCAACTAATGGTCCGATAGGGACAAATGACATTTTCTTCTGCTTGGAAAAAGTGAGACTAAACGCACCTTTAGAAAACTTGGTATGTTACAGATCCATTACGCTTTGCAACCCCAGGAAAAACCATGTGCTCCCTCTGCAAACTTAGCTTCCAGATTAGTCTCCTACACACTCCCCTCCACCCCCGGCTGCCACCCCCAAGCCCCTCCCATGGAGAAATTCTGGAGCCTGGACAGAATGGAAGGGACGGGCGGTTTACTCCCGTGCTGTTGCTCAGCAGAAATTAAAGGCCAACCTTAAAGCATCTACAGGAGGAGTCTTGCCAAACTGCAGCCCAGGTCTTCACCCAACTAATTACCTCGAGTTCTAGGGACGGCGAGAGAAAGAAAACAAGGTCAGCGCACTCTGTTAAAAGCCACTCTGCCATCTAATTTGGAGTGATGTTCCAGAAAGCAAGACCTGAGAAAGTCAGGACTGTCCCACAAAGCCCAAAGCCAGCCCGACTGATTAAGAGGCTCAGACAAGCCGGTCTTTGTCCTTTCAAGATGAAAGAAATGGGGCTAACGGGTTGAAAGGTGTGTGTTCAGCCAGAGGAGGTGAACCACCCAGCTGTGGCCTTCCCAAACAAGTCCCAGCTCGCTCCCACCACCAAGGGAGAGCAAACAGCCCTGCCCCAAGGTTCCCAGAGGCGCTCAGTCAGCAGCCTAGTCCTTCTCTGGGGTGGGGGGAGCCCTGACCACCGAGGCTCATCCATATAAACAGGGTGCTTTTCTGCACTGGGTTTGCAAAGCCTTCCACAGAAGCCAGGGTTTACATATACCTTTCTAATGACCCCTGCCTAGCTCTGACGGCCACCCCTGGGACCTGCTGCGTTCAGTGAGAGTCACGGGGACCCAAGAGAGCATTAGATACCATAAATCCCTCACCAGAGAAAGGGCCTTGGCTAACCCCCAGCTTCAGGATGGTTACAGAGCCCCGCTTTTATAAATATATTTGAATTTTTCTTTAGGTTCTGGTGTAGGTCATAAATACACATTGTAAAAAAAAAAAGGCACACAGACAAAAGTGCAGACAATGAAAAATCAGACCCCAGCTCGCACTGCCTAAGCCCCAGCTCCAGGGCTACCCCCCGCCCAGTAAAATGTATTTCACGTTCATGGTATCTTCTTCCAGGGGGAACGGATGATATACAAGCACATACGTAACCTCACTGATCTGCACCTTGCTTTTTTTTCCACCTCATACATCTTGGAGATTGTTCTAAATCAGGACATATGGAGCTGCCTCCCTCTAACAGGCTGCTTAGTATAATTTAAACTTTCTTGAGGTTATTTTGGTATCTAAACCTCCCACCCTTTTCTAGCTGAGAGTCGCTGCACTGTTTGATTTCTAGCTACTATTAGGACAGACAATGGCGACCCGGGAACTCAGGGAACCTTATCCGGTGCTGGAAGCGTGAGGGTTGATCCCCGCTTCCCCGCGCCCCCTTCCCTGCCCCGCGCCCCCAGCGGGGGGCTTCGGTATCATCTGGTATCATCTCCCTGTTGACACGGCGCCCGTGGGCGTGAGTTTGTTGTCCTGGCTCCGTTCGCATTTTCGCAGCAAGTTACACACGTAGAATGAAATCGGCTCAGGAAACAGCGCTATCGGGGCGTGTTATCTCGGGAAACCAAATATTTGATCATCAGTCCTACAGCGCGCTGCCGGGGGTTAGTTTGAGCAAGTCGGGTGACCGTGCGCGCACAGACGGAGGAGCCCCCGCGCCCCCGCCGCAGCGCCAGCCTCCCGTCCCCGGGGCCATCGCGGCTCCAGGCGAGAGCTAGGCCCCCCCGCCGCCCCCGGCAGCGTCGGCTCGGAGATCCCGCGCCACTCAATCGCCAAAACCCGCGGTTTGCGCGCCACACGTGATAAACGCCGAAAATGGATTCTGCCCGCCCGGGACCTATCATTAAATATTTAAAATAGAAAGCTCGCGATGGCACCGTTTCTTCCCCAGCTCCCGCCAGGAGAGCTGGGAGGCAAGGGGGCGCCCGGCCGCCAGGAGGGCGCCCGGAGACACTGGCGGCGCGCCGCACGCCAAGGCGGGCGCACCGCGAGGGGACAGGTAGGGCTTCACGGGGCGGGGAAGGGGGTGCGACGCCTGCGATGCCAGGTCCAGGCAGGGCTCAGAGGGGCCCCGAAAAGGCGGGAAGGCAGCTTCGCCCAACAGGGCCCTTTAAATCCAGGTAGCAGGGGCCGCGCGGGCCCGGCACAGCTCACATGACCCAGCCCCGCGCTTTGAACTGAGCCGCGGCGGGCCCGGCGCCTCCGGCCCCCCAGAGGTGCGGCCGGCCGACTTCACCCGGAGGGGGCTTCAAACCAACCCCTTCCTCCGCCAAACTCCCACGGGCCGAAGGAGCCCGGCTCGCCCTACCTGGGGCGCGCGCTGCTTGGGGTCCACGGGGGCTCGGACCCTGCGCCAGGCACGGCGGTTTTGCAAACCGCCCGGAGTGTAAAGATGGGCGGGCTGCGTGCAAAAGGGACCCCCCCCCCTCCCCGTCCCAAAGTGCCTCCTGACCTAGAGGCTCACCCCCTCCCTCCTGCCCGCACTCACCGAGGTTGACGAAGCTCATGACCATGTCGGCGTCGGTGAGGAAGCGGCTATCTTGCAGGCTGGCCAGAGGGGGGCCCTGGGTACTGAAGACGGCCTTGTAGGGGTAGGAGAAGCCCTGGCCGTCGGGCCCGCCGCCCTCCTCCACCGCCATGGCGTTGTACAGGTCCAGCATGAACATGGGCGCCGAGTTGTGCTTGCCCTGGAGGTGGGGGCGCGGGCGATGGGGCAAGCCCAAGATAGAGAGGATCTCGCGCTGCATCTCCCGCCGCTCCTGGCTGCGGAGGCGCCGGTGGATGAAGCTCGAGTGCACCTCGTTGTCCAGGCTGAAGTCGGCCAGGGCGGAGCGCAGCAGGAACAGGGGCGCCCAGAGCGCCACGAAGCTGTGGGGCGCCGCGGCGCGCAGCGAGCGCACGTGCATCGCGCCGGCTCTACGCGCGACCCGGGCTCCGGGCACCCGGCACCGGGGCCCGCGCCGCCCCAGGTGGCGGAGGGGGGCAGGCGGCCGTCCACGCCGCTCGGTCACTTGCTGCAGACGGGTCCCGCTGCGCCCGCGCCGGACATGGCCCCTCCCCGGCCGGCTGCGCTCTGCCCGGACCTCCGCCCCCTGCTCGGCGCTAGCCCCGGGGTCCCTCGCCCCGCACTCGCCCGGGCTCACCGCGGGGCTCGGAAACCGGCTGGAGCGAGCGAGCGAGCGAGCGAGCGAGCGAGGAGGCGGGCGCGGGTGGGAGGAGCAGCCGGCAAACCTAGGAGCCGGCAGAGCGAGCGCCGGGGAGGCAGCGAGGCGGCGGGCGGGCGAGCGAGCGCTCCTTCCTCCCGCTCCGCTCGCGCTCTCGCCCTCGGGCGGCGGCGACCCACTCTCTTCCGAACTGCGGCGCGGAGAGCAGGGGCCCCGAGTCGCTCTCCCAGCGGTGCGCGCCCTTGATCGCACGAGAGGCCGCCTCGGGAGCTCCAGACTGGTACGCGCTGGGGCCTGGGAGGAGGAGGAGGAGGACGGGCTTCCAAGGGCCCCTCCCGCGCCCGCGGCCTCCCACCTGCCCTCGGCCCCGCCCTCCCCCCAGCTGCGCCCAATGGGTTCATTCATTCCTTCTAGTGCGCTCTACAAATATTTACCGAGTGCCCACGGGGTGCCCAGCGCCGGGCCGGACGCCGCGGGGATGCGGAGGGAGGAATCCGAGCCGGCCCTGCCCTCTGGGGACGCGGAGTCCGGCCAGGGAGGAGGCCTGAGCGGGACCGGTGGGATTCTTCTCGGGCTGAGGGGGAAGAAGCGAGGGGGGGGGGGGGGGGGCGGGGGGCGGAGGCCGCGCAGCAATCCGAGAAGGCTTCCCGGAGGAGGTGACCCCGAGTCCCTCCCGCCCCTCTGCTCCACCACCCCCCTCCCCCCATTTACTCCAGCCACGCTGACCCCTGTGCGCCTCCCAGCGCTTAGCGCCAGCCTTCGCTCTTGCCAGAATTCTCTCCCTTCCCAGCCTCTGTGCCTAGCTCCCATAGCCAACCCTTCACCTCCGGGTGCCACTTCCTCCCGGACCAGGAGAGGTAAGGTCACTTGTTGTGTTTTCTTGAACTCCCCCTCACCGCCTGGATTCCTGTTTTGAGTTATTCGCGCTGCCTTTATTGTCTCGTGGGGGGGGGGGGGGGGGGGGGGGGGGGGGGGGGGGGGG